TTGTATATTATATTTTATGTAAGCTTCATGGTAACCAAAAAGAAAATCCTGTACCAATTACAGAAAAGATTATGATAAAGGAGTCCAAGCATACCACCACAAAAAGTCATCACATCACAAAAGATGACTGCAGGAGGGAAGAAGCAGGCAACATAGGATTTACAAAGCAGCAAAAAGCAACAAAATGGCAATAGTAAATCATTATCTATCAGTAATTCCTTTAAATGTTTGTGGATTAAATACTTCATTCAAACCACACAGTTCCCAAGTGGATGAAATAGAGATCCAAACAATATGCCACCTACAAGAGACTTTAGTTTTAAGACAGACATCATAGGCTGAATGAAGGGACAGAGAAAGGTATTTCAATCAAATGGTAACTAATAGAAATCAGGAGTAACTATAATGATACCAGACAAAATAGATTTTAAGCTAAAAATCTCCAAAAGAGACAAAGGTAATTTTATAATGATAAAAGGATCAATCTATCAATTAGATATATCAGTTGTAATTATTTATGCATCCAACATCAGAGCACCTATGCATAGAAAAATAAATAGCAATACAATGACATAGAAAGGATATCAATGGATAGATCCATCCAATCAGTAAAGAAACAGTGGGATTTAAACAATACTACAGACAGAATGGACCTAACAGACATACACAGTACATTCCTTCCAACAGCAGCAAAATATACATTCTTCTCAAGCACTCAAGGAAAATATTCCAGCATAGATAATATGGTAGGCCACAAAAGCCTTAGCAATTTTAAGATTGAAATCACAGCAAGTGCATTTTCTGAACACAATATTAGGAAACTAGAAGTCAACAGGAAGAAGAAAACTGGAAAATTCACAAATACATAGAAATTCAACAACACACTCCTAAATAACCAATGGATCAAGGAAGAAATTAAAAGTAAAGTAATTATTTGAGGCAAAAGAAAATGGAAGCACAACATACCAAAACTTCTGGGTAGTAGCAAAAGCAGTTTTAAGAGGGAAGGTTGTAGTGATAAATGCATATACATCAAGAAAAAATTCTCAAACAACTTAACTTACCAGCTCAAGAGACTAGAAGAACAAAATAATCCCAAAGTTAGCAGAAGGATAGAAATAAAGATTAGAGCAAAAGTAAATGAAATGGAGTATAGGAAGGTAATAGAAAAAGATCAACAAAACTCTAGGAGTTGGTTCTTTGAAAAGAGAAAGTTGACAAACCATCAGCTAGACCAATGAAGAAATAAGAGAGGACTTAAAATCATAAATAGAAGAGGCAACATTACAACTGATACCAGAGAAATGCAGAGGATAATAGGAGATTACCATATACAGCTATATGCCAACAAACAGGACAAACTATAAGAAATCAATAAATTGCTAGAAACATACAACCTACCAAGTCTGAATCATTAAGAAACAGAAAATCTGAACAGATCAATTACTAATAAGAAGACAGAATCAGCAATCAAAAATCTCCAACAAAGAGAAACTCAGGACCAGATGACTTCACAGGTGTAGTCTACCACACTTTTTTTTTTTTTTTTTTAAATTTAAATTCAAGTTAGTTAACATACAGTGTAGTATTGGTTTCAGGAATAGAACCCAGTGATTCATCACTTCCATATAACACCCAGTGCTCATCTCAACAAGTGCCCTCCTTAATGCCCATCACTCATTTAGTCCATCTCCCCCCCCACTTTCCCTCCATCATTTCTCAGTTTATTCTGTATTCTCTATATATCTCTATTTTTATCTTATTTTTCCTTCCCTTCCTGTGTGTTCATCTGGTTTGTTTCTTAAATTCCATATATGAGTAAAATCATAAGCTTATATTTGTCTTTCTCTGACCGACTTATTTTGCTTAACATGATACATTCTAGTTCCATCCACGTTGTTGCAAATGGCAAGATTTCATTCTTTTTGATTGCTAAGTAATGTTTCATTGTTATATGTATATCCATATCTTTATCCATTCATCAGTCAATGGACCTTTGGGCTCTTTCCATAATTTAGCTATTGTTGATAGCACTGCTATAGACGTTGCGGTGAATATGCCCCTTCAAATCAGCATTTTTGTATCCTTTGGATAAATACCTAGTAGTGCAATTGCTGGGTCATAGGGTAGTTCTATTTTTAATTTTTTGAGGAACTTCCATACTGTTTGGATTCCAGAGCGGCTGCACCAGTTTGCATTCTCACCAGCTGGGCAAAAGAGATCCTCTTTCTCCACATCCTCGGCAACATCTGTTGTCTCCTCCGTTGTTCATTGTAGCCCCCCAGACAGGTGTGAGGTGGTATCTCATTGTGGTTTTATTTGTATTTCTCTAATGATGAGGGATGTTGAATGAACATCTTTTCATGTGTCTGTTAGTCCTCTGAATGTCTTTGGAAAAGTGTCTATTCATGTCTTCTGCCCATTTCCTCACTGTATTATTTGTTTTTAGGATGTTAAGTTTGATAAGTTCCTTATAGATTGATACTAATTATCAGATAGGTCATTTGCAAATATCTTCTCCCATTCTGTAGGCTGCCTTTTTAGTTTTGTTGATTGTTTCCTTCACTGCACTAAAGACTTTTATTTTGATGAGGTCCCAGTAGTTCCTTTTTTCTTTTGTTTCCCTTGCCTCCTGAGGCATATCTGGTAACAAGTTGTTGTGGCTGAGGTCAAAGAGGTTGTTGTCTGTGTTTTCCTGTAAGATTTTGATGGTTTCCTGTTTCACATTTAGTTCTTTCATCCATTTTGAGTTTATTTTTGTGTATAGTGTAAGAAAGTTGTATTCTACCAATTCTTCTCAAACTCTTCCAAAAAGTAAAAAAGAAGGGAACACTCCCAAGCTCATTTTTACAAAGCCATATTACCCTGGTAAGAAAGTCAGAGAAGGGGGCGCCTGGGTGGCTCAGTCAGTTAAGCGTCTGACTTCAGCTCAGGTCATGATCTCATAGTTTGTGGATTTGAGCCCCATGTCAGGCTCTGGGCTCATAGCTAGCCTGCTTCAGATTCTGTATCTCCCTCTCTCTCTCTCTCTGACCCTCCCCTGCTCACACTGTCTCTCTCTCTCTCTCAGAAATAAATAAAAACATTTTTTAAAAAGTCAGATAAGGACACTATAAGCAAAGAAAAACTATAGGCCAACATCCCAGATAAATACAGATGCAAAAATTTTCAAAAAATGTTAGCAAATCAAATTAAACAGCACATTAGAAGGACCATGCACTGTGATCAAGTGGGATTCATCCCTGGGATGTGAGGATGGTTCAGTATATGCAAGTCAGTAAAATGTGATGTATCACATTAACTGAATGACAGTTACAAATCCTATGATCATCTGAATAGATACGGAAAGAGCAGAGCATTTGACAAAATGCAGGATCTATTCATGATGCAAAAAACAAAACAAAACAAAAAAACCCTCAACAAATTAGATATAGAAGGAATACCAAAACATAATAAAGGCATGGGTTTACTTCTGGGCTCTAAATTGTCTGTCTATCTGTATTGTGTATTTGAAAGTTGCTAAGAAAGTAAATCTTAAGTTTTCATCACAAGGAAAAAATTTTAAACTATGAAGTGATGGATGTTAACTTACTTTATTGTTGTAATCATTTTCATAATATGTATATCAAATCGTTTTGCACCTTAAACTTAGTGTTATATGTCAGTTATATCAATATAAATGGAAAAAAGTGGTTAAATGCCAAATTTCAGTAGACATCCAAAATTTTCAAAGTATGTTTAAAGCTTAGAATTGAAAATTCATACAGCATTGTGATTTGTGATTTAGATTAACTCAAGTACCTATTTATATAATATTTCTCCAGTGCTTTTATTTTAGGATTGTGAAGTTATTTGATAACCAGACAGAATTCTAGATAAAAAGTATGTTGGAAAGGGGCACTTGGGTAGCTCAGTTAAGCACCCGACTCTTGGTTTCGGCTCAGGTCATGATCTCACAGTTTCATGAGTTTGAGCCCCACGTAGGGCTCTGTGATGGCAGCACAGAGCCTGCCTTGGGATTCTCTCTCTCTCTTCCTCTCTCCCTGGCCCTCCCCCATTCATGCTGTCTTTGTCTCAAATAAATAAAGCTTTAAAAAAATTATATTGGAGAGATCCAACATATTTAATACTTAGAAACATTACTGATTGTTGCCCTAGTTATTTGTTTTTGTATGTCCGGCTTTTAGTGGTTTATAATAATAATTCTCTTATGGTAAAGTATTTTGAAGTTACAAGAACTAGATTATAAGTCACTGGACAGGGTACCCTCATTTCACAGATGAAAATATTCACCCACATGAGCAAGACACTCTAGTGTGGTAGTTAAGGGACACTGAGGCCAGACTGCTTGCAAACCCTGACTCTGCCTCTAACCAGTTGTATATGAATCTTGAGCAAATTATTTTTTACTTATCTGTGCGTCTATTTCCCTACATGGTAAATGTGGGGAAGAGGGGTGGGAGAAATACATAGAATTCACCTCCTAGTGTTTCTCAGGGGTTAAAGGAGTTAATATATGTAAAATGCTTAAAACAAAGCCTGATACATGATAGATGCTACATGTGTGTACTTTTATCATCACTTTTACTGCTCTAATGTGTATTAATGACATGTGCTATGTATCAGAACTGTTTTGTGTCTAAAGTTCTAATCTTCAGAGGAACTACTGGTGGGAGGTGTTTGGATTCATACCAAGATATTAGAAATTTCTGATGCTTTGAATGCTACTTTTTTTAAAGCTTTGAGTTAAAAAAAAAAAAATAAAAAAAACTAAAACTCCTCCCTATCAGAATGAGAATTCCCAGTTCTTACTCTCTTCATCCGCAAGCTTGTTGATGGACACAGTGGAGCCCATTAAGTACGGCTCCCTCTCCTTCACCCTCCACTCTGCTACAGTCAGCATTGTTGCACTTGAGCTCTCTGAGGTGTTAAATCTTCACCCCCACTATGAACTGCAACAGTAATATGGATTTTTGTCTTGTTTTTTATTTTGTTTGCAGATAATACAGCAAACTCATCAAGTAGTAGAAACCGAGCAAAGCAAAGAAATTGAGAAATGGAAAAGACTTGCACAGTTGAAGAATCGTGAGTTGGACAAGTTCCGCACAGAATTAGACTCAATATTAGATGTTCTTCGAGAACTGCACCGGAAGGGGGTGGTGGTGCCTGTTGCTTTTGCAGATGAAGTGAATGCACCAGAGTATTACTAGCAACTGGGATTTCCTGTGACCTCAGAAAAGGCCAGATGATGGATGGTGAATGGGATTGTGCTGTCAGAAGAAGCCTTTTGAAAACGAATGTTCCAGTATGTTGCCAGAAAGCAAACAGTACAAGAGCAACATTACAAAATAAATTTCCCTAAACCAGTAAAAGCAAACAAAACACATTTTGCTGTATTTTACTGAAATTCATTAACCAGTCACATTTTAAGTAATTTGTGGACAAGTCCCCTTATGTCAGAGGATTAGAACTAGTGAGATTAGTTGTACAAGATCTAACTTAAATTCTAGATATGAAAAGAAGAAAACTGCTCGTCCTCTGCGATTTTTGACTAAGTGTGTATTCTTAATCCATAGTACCAGAAGAACAGCTCCTCTTGCCCATGGAAACTAGAAGAGCGGGAGCACAGTGGTTTAAACAGTCACCAGAGTAGCAGAACTTCCACAGCAGTTTTGGCAAGAATAACTTTGTACAAGCAGTGGGCTCCCTTGTGTTCTCCCAGATTTCCGCTTCTACCTCTGGGTGCCTCATTTTTGCACCTGATATAAAGGTGCAAAACTTATTTCACATGTAAAAGGGGAATTTGATTTACTCATTGTTTTAACCTTTTATGCTCCCTGTCTTAAATACTAGTCCTTTTTTGCAAGTTTATGACTATAAACAATGTAACATCTTTACTTCCTCTATTTAAAACATATGTTCATTAGAAAAAAGTAGAAGCATGCAAAGTAGTTGGATTGTTATTTTTTTTACAATGCCCATTTCCAGAAGCAGATAATATATAAAATGCTGGTGAGTTAAAGCCATAGCCACCTTATTTTCAAGTGTTTGGACCTTGTGCTGTCCGATAGAAGTATAATAGGAGTCACGTGTAATTTTCAACGTTCTTATAACAGCATTTAAAAAGATAAAAAGAAACAAATGAAATTAATTTTGGTAATTTATATAATTGATCTAAGTATCAGTATAAAAATGGAGTTTTTACATTTTTTTCCATACTTTGTCTCCAAAATCTGGTATATTTTACATGTCAGCACAACTGCATTTCAACTAGCCACATTCCAGGTGCTCAGTTACTATATACCAGTAAGTGCAATTCAGAAGGAATAATTAAAGGGTGAAACACTTTATAGAAGACAGGTAAAATAGGTCTTGGTGAAATTATGGGTAGCAAATGTGAAATGTGGAAATATAAGGAATACAATTAAATTCTTAATGTTCAGCATTTCTGTCCTTAAGATGGTAGAAAAAGCATTAATTCAGGTAGCTGTATTTATGTGAAAGGATTTTAAGTTATAATATAAACTATTTTGGTTATTAATTGAGTGTATTTTTGTGTTTTTTAAATCTGCAAACCTTAGTTTATAGCTACACCCATCTCTCCCTTTGTCCTTTTGACTATCCATTAGCCATTCATTCCAAGCACAAACACGGTTCATTCTGAAACACAAAGAAGTGCAAACATCAAATAGATTATTACTTACAGAAAAAAAGTACATCCTATTTTGATAAGGATTCTTTCTTCTTTTGGAATAAGCTGTGCACATGGCAGGTGTTCAATTCTGTTTACAGACTAAAGATCCCTAAGTACTATCAGAATTACTAGTTGCAACTAAAAACCTCAGGAACCATACTCCATTCCTTAGTCATTGCCTTAAGGGTCTAGCATGAGAACACAGAAGATATAATACTTAGGCTATCTTGAATAGGGAGACTTTTATGGAGAATTAAGCTCCAGAAAGTATCAGTCCCCTGCTACTAATTATATCCCCCTCACAAGGTCCTAAGGTACCAGCATCCACGGGGCAGGAACCTCACCAGGATATGGCTTGCTGCCGACTCCACTGCTTTTGTGCAGAGGGATTTCTGATTCGATCTGTTACTTAGAGCCCACAGCATTCTAGAACTAGTATCAACCCATCACTCTTGGGAAATCTAGGCTTTAGTATTAGGGCCCCATTCCCTATTACAAAAATCCTAGATTGGTGACAAAATGCTAAGAAGGTGAAAATAAGTATTTCTCCTTCCCACCCATACTACTAAGAGCTCTAATTAGGGCAGATCCACAGCACATTATGTTCCATAGCGTTTCACACGATCATGCTTTGAAGGGCTCGTTAACAATAGGTAGTGAGAGGAGTGAAGTTTGAAAGTTTTCCAAACCTCCCTAGTTACTATGATTCTATTTGGGTTTTTGAACCCATGAATTAGAGCATTCACTTGCAGTTTCTGTAGAAAAGTCCAAAATGGAAAGCATATGTATTCTTTCTCAGCACCTGTCCAGCCCTAATTGGCCTATTTACTATTCCCCTCTAGTCTAAACCATAGCAAGTCCATTTGTCTCCAGGTTTGCTGAAAGCTCAAGTCACAACCACCTAAACAGACAAATAGGAGAGAACATTCCTTCCCACCCACACTCGCTTTGTAGGATTGTTCTAAGAAATAAGTTTGAAGGGCAGGATCTACTCTATAGATAGGGCAAATCTATAGAAGGAAGGGAAGCACAGAGTTTGATCAGAACAAAATTAATTAGTAAATTCAGGAACAAGCAAACTGGATTAGACTTTATGAAGAAGGAAAAAAAAGGGGGGAGGGAGTGGTAATCGTACCAGGTAAGCACTTGTAGAGCACAAAAGCTAAGAAGCAAGAACACAGCAGGAATCTGACCCAGTGGAGCTACTCTAAGCCTTCCTTGCACTTGAATCCTTAATGGTCCCCTGCCAATAGTCCCCCACCTCGGGGTACTGATATTACAGCGAGAAAATCCTGTTACGGGGGACAGATGGTGGTAGACTGCACATGATCGGTGTTTAAGTTCTTGGAGAAAGGTCTGGAAGGGATTTTGGAGAAGAATTTGTAAGGTAGGCGAAAGTCATGAGGGAAAGAATATTCATAGAAGAGTTAAACTGAACCTGCTTATTGGAAACGACTGAGTAGAATGAAGCATGGGAGGATGGGGTTTCCTCACGCCAGCCCTGGGCAGTAAGTGTAAATCAGATTTCCATGCCCATGTCTTCCCAGTTAAGCTCATTATCATGGCCACATGTAAGGAGCCCTAATAACTAGCAGGAGCTCATTCCCCTGGCTTGGGATCAGAGCCTTCACAGCAGCTCAGTCCCTCATACATAATAGGGGCTTAGTAAACTAATTGCCTTTTGTCCCTTGACCTTCATCTACAACGATAACCCTCACCTCCCTCCATCCCCAGAGACTGTGTCTGCACTCTATAAGAGGATAACGTTGGGTCTGCAGCTCTACCTTTCTTCTCCGAGTGCCGGCCCCCATTCCCAGTTCCTCCCAGAATTACCCACTGTTCTCAAAAAAGTCAACATGTTTGAAACCAGCTCCTCATGTTTCTTCCTGAAACCAGATGCCCACTCCCCTGGGTTTCAGCATTCTCCAGACAGTTCTAAACCTTGAGGTATTCTCAACTCTCAGTCAATTCGGGATGCTAGAGCAAATTACCATAGACTGGGTGGCTTCAACAACAAACATTCATTTCTTATAGTTCTGGAGGCTGGGGAATGAATCCAAGATCAAGGTGAAGAGGTCTCTCTGCTTGTTGTATGCTCACAGGGTGAGAAGCAGAGAAGCAAGCTCTCCAGGGGCTTTTATAAGAGCACTACTCATTCATGATGGCTCTGCCCTTACAACTTCATCTAATCCTAATTAACCTCCCAAAGGCCCCACCATCACATTGGGTTTCAACATATAAATCTTGAGGGGACACAGTCCACATCAACTAACTCAGACACGTGGTCATCAAACCTGTAGCCAATTTCTTCAAAATAATGCTTATATCTACCTGTCCCTTTCCACTCCCATATCCACCAGCACGGAAACCCCATCAGCATTTCCTTCCTTTTAGCGTAGAGATGTAACTGATTACCGCTATGCTCTCCGCACCCCAAATACCCTGCAAAACAACACTGCGATGTAGTTCTTCCTAAAACTCTGCTTGATGCATACCAGCTTCCCACTTGACCCAGGTGATTTTTAGGTGTAAATGTTAGAATCCTTACCCTAAGCCTTCAAGGCACCACTCAGCATGACCTCGCCTTCCTCTCCACACTCCATTCCAGACCTCTAATCTCGTACACAAATATTCCCTATACCAGTTTTCTATTACTGCTGTAACAAATTACCACAAACCTAACGGCTTAAGACAGCACAGATTTGCCGTCTTACGGTTCCATAGATCAGAGGTCCAACACAGTTCTCATCGGGGTAAAATCAAAGTATCAGCAGAGCTGCATTCTTTCCGAAGACCCTGGGAGAAAACATTTCCTAGTTCTGTCCTGCTTTTCCTTCCCCTTTTCCACCTACTGGCGTTGCCCCCTCCCTCCATCCTCACAGCAGCCGTGCATCTCTCTGAGCATCCTTCCGTACCTCGGACCCAAGGCTCAGCTGGGAGAGGTTCTCCTCTTTTAAGGACCCAAGTGAGTAGATTGGCTCTACCTGGGCAATCCAGGATGCTCCTCCCATCTCTTCACTTCAGGATCCTTAACAGCACCTGCAAAGTCCCTTTTGCCATGTGAGTGCCTTTTCACAGGTGGCTACCTTGGGGGAGGTTAGCAGAGAGCATTATTCTGCCTACCACACTCCTCTCATTCAAACCAATCTTATAGCCATGCTGTCTATCCTAACACCTTTATGTCCTCCTTTCCATTTGACCATCTCACCCCTACCTCATCCTTTGTCCACACCAGGTTTTCATGATCACATTCTTCTCTAAATGGAATATATATTCTACATCTACTGCCTGGTTATAGCTCTCATTGTATACATACACATACACTCACTCACATACACGCATCCCTGTTCATCTCTTTATTTTCCTAGGATCTTCTAGACAAATCAGTCCCATGATGATAATGGCAGCATTGGCACAAGCCTCTCAAGGACTCTAATAAAAAAGGAAATCATTGCAAAGCTGCCACAGAAACAGGCTTAGAAGTAAATAACTGCTATAGTGTTTATGGAATCTAATGGTTAATCATTTTTTAACTTTTATACCACTATAGTTAAGATTGTAATGCAAATTTTCTTCAACCACTAACAGAGATTCTGTTTTAGGGGAAAAAAGCTTAAGGGTTGTTGTTTGTTTGTTTTAACAAATTGCCTTTGAAATGCATGATTCTTTAAGGAACACTAGCGTGGTTACAA